TCTATTTTTTTCTTCATTACGACATTCGAAACTAATCTCCAGGAAAAGTTAAACAAAGACTTTGTAGAAATGTAAGTGTGTGCCAAAGGCCATGTATTTGTATTGTTGTATTTTTTTTGTTGTTGTTGTGATATTGTCCAGTTTTGAAATTTAATGCCAACGGCTATTAAAATTTGAAAATAGACATTTTTTGTGTTTTTTGTAATAGGGTTTTCTTTGAGTTTTTTTTGTCAAATATGCCTTTAGGTCATGTATTTGTAAAGTTAGGGAAAAGAGAATAGAAAAGGGAAAATTTGTTGGAAATTCTTAAAATTTGGAATTTCATTTGAGTGAAGGTAAGAGAAGGGAAAGCAAATATTAAATCAATATTTCTTAGAATTTCATTAAATTTGAAATAGTTATTTTAGATTTGATATCCAATGGCGTAGTTCACTCTGGTGCTTAGTACGAAAAAATCAGGACCACAGAAGGCCGGGACGATCTAAGATGTTTTGAGGATTAACAAGTAAAAAAGCTGTAAGTTCGGGCGGGCCGAACTTTTAATACCCTCCACCATTTGGTATAAATTTGGCAATTTCCAAAAAAATAAAATAAATAAATAAAATAAAAAAAATCCTTTAAAAATTCAGTTAAAATCTTAAAAATACCGAATGTCTATACGACGACGTATACCTGCATAGGCAACTTTTGTCATAAGTTATTACAACATTTAAATGCGAAACTTGAAGAAACATTTGTTTATAATGTAGCTAAAATCATCAAAATACCGAATATCGGGGGGTACGGTATATGGGGGCTATACGAAGACGTGGACCTGCATGGCCCATTTTCTGTTTTCTGCTGCAGTATCTATTACGAACTTCAAATACCAAATTTGGAACGGTTCCGTTAAATAATGTCGCTAAAATCATCAAAATACCGAATATCGGGGGGTACGCTATATGGGGGCTATACGAAGACGTGGACCTACATGGCTCATTTTCTGTTTTCTGCTGCAGTATCTATTACGAACTTCAAATACCAAATTTGGAACGGTTCCGTTAAATAATGTCGCTGAAATCATCAAAATACCGAATATCGGGGGGTACCATTATATGGGGGCTATACGAAGACGTGGACCTGCACAGATAATTTTCTGTCTTAGGCTGTAGTATCCATTACGAACTTCAAATGCCAAATTTGAAACAATTCCGGTGAATAATGTCGCTAAAATCATCAAAATACCGAATATCGAGAGGTACCGTTATATGGGGGCTATATGAAAACTTGGACCTACATGACCCATTTACGAACTTAACCTGCCTACTGGCAAAATATACATGTGTGCAGAATTTTAGCCTTCTATCTCAATTTGTTCGAAAGATAGCGTGATTACAACAGACAGACAGACGGACAGACAGACAGACACACAGACAGACAGACAGACGGACATGAGATTAGTTTTTAAAAATAATTTTTTAGGAATCATTACCGACATGAATTGTCTCCACAATCCAAAATTGTTCGCAGGTAGTCCTTGAGAGAAAGTTTTTTAAGCTTTCTATTTTTAAACGTTGTTGAAAAAATCTTTAATTGATCAAGAGGTCCTTGAAAACATTGTTTAAAAATCCACTGTTTTGTTCAGTCCTAAAAAAAATATTAAAAAAAATCCAAGATTTTTGGTTGAAAATGCACCCTGGAAATTTATTTTTTTTAATACACCATAGGTGGTTTGGATATCCAAGGAAAGCTGTCATTGAACTCGTCAGGAATTCCTTTAAAATATATATTTTTTAATTGCACAGTATTTTGTTTCATGTCCCATTAAAAGTCCTTGATTTTTGGTTGGGAGGTGCTTTAAAAAATCCAAGATTTTTAATTCAAAAAAAAAAAAAAAAAAAAAAAAGATTTCTGGTAAGAAATTTAAAAAAGTCTATTTTAAAAATTCAAGATTTCTGAATAGGAGGTTCTTTACAAATATCTAACATTTTTGGTAAGAAGGTGTTTGAAAAAATCCATTAAAATTCTAAAATTCCTCGAAAGAAGATCCTTGGAAAAAAATCACGATTTCTCAAAAGAAGATCCTTGAAAAAAAAAATCACGATTTCCGGTATGAAGGTACGTAAAACAGTCCATTTAAAAATTCTGCTCAGAAATCATGCTTTCTTGTCAGGAGCTCCATTAAAAAGTTCGTTCAAAAATCCACTAATTCTGCTTGGAAGATCTTTGAAAATATTGCACTAAAAGCCGTGATATCTGGTTAGAAAATAAAAATAATAAAAATAAATATTACTTGTAAGTAGGCCCTTAAAAAAATTCCACGATGTCTTGTTAGAAGGTTCTTGAAAATGATATTTGAAAAATCGAAGATTTCTTAATAGAAGGTCCTTGAGGGTAATTCAAATAGTTCCTTCACAAATCCACGATTTCTGGTTAGAAAGTCGTTAAAAAAGCTTCTTTAAAAATCAAAGATTTTTGGATAGAAGGTTATTTAAAAAGAAGGTCCTTTTGAAAGTCCTTTAAAAATTGAAGATTTCTAGTTAGAAAGTCTTTAAAAAAGTTTTTTTTTTTTTCAAAATTCAAGATTTTTATTAAGGATGTCCGTAAAATGTTATTTTGAGAAAGCGACGCTTTTCCTGGAAACTTATTTATTAAAAAAACCGCTATATTTGGTCACGATATCCTTGACATTCTTAAGTCACTATTTTTAAATTGAAGATTTCTAATTAGAAAGTCTTTAAAAACGTTTTATTTCAAAATTCAAAATTTTTAGTAAGGATGTCCGTAAAATGTTATTTTGAGAAAGCCACGCTTTTCGGTTAAAAGGTCCTGGAAACTTATTCATTAAAAAGACTGCCATATTTGGTCACGATATCCTTGACATTCTTAAGTCACTATTTTTATTAGGAAATCAAATTTCTTAAGTCAGAACGGCCTCAAGAAACTTTTTTTTGAAAATTCTCGGTATCAGATCAGAAGTTATTGTGAAAAATATCCACGATATTTTTAAAAATTAAATTTAAATTCTAAATAAAAAAAACTTTTTTAGGGGTTTTGACCAACGTAATTTGTTTTTAATTTTCTAAAACCATCTTCATTATGATTTTATTTTTTTTATTTATTTTTGACGAACTATCCCTGGGATGAAAAAATATTTACACCAATTATTTTTAAAAAATATTAAAAAAATTGGAAAAAAAATGGCATCAAATTTTAAAATTATTTTTATTCGTAATTTCTGTTATCCTAGAGCCAACACCAGTAACTGGAGGGAACTTGTGTCGTTACCATATTCTTCAAGTACAAATGCCTACATTGATTTTTTTCAAAGAATATTTGGTTTGGATTATCGAAGTCTAAGTCGGGAATTTTTCCAAAGGATTTTGAAGATGATTATTTCGATCAATATTTTTCAACGATTTTTCTTTTGAATACTTTCCAAGGATTTTTCAAAAGAATATTATTCAAGGATAATCTCAATTCGAGAAGTTTTACAGATTTGTTTTCAACGACATCCTGAACCATAATAGTCGAATTGTTCGGGAATATTTTTTTAAGGGCTGTGGCGTTTTAAAAATATGGGTTTCATGGACTATCGAAGGATGTTAAGTGGATTTTTCACAAAATATGTTTCAAGGACCTTCAGATCCATATACGTGAGTTTTTTTTTAAGTAATATTTTTTAAGGATTCTGATCGTAAGGCTTGGATTTTTAAGGATCCTAATTGTGAACTTTTAGGGAATATTTCTTAAGGACCCTAATCGAAATTCTTGTATTTTGTACTGAATAATTTTTAGGGCCATAGCTGTGGATTTTCAAATATCATTTCCTAAGGACTATCGGAGCCAACATCTATCATAAGTGTAGTTGTAAGTTTATCAGAAAATCTAACAGCACTTAAGTAATCTTCTTTAAAAAATTGTACAATTTTGCCTCTGATAATCCTCAAGGAATATCAGTTTTTTAAGAACCATAATCCTAAAGACCTAGTTATGGATTATTTAGAGAACATTTTTGCAAGGAAACTAATTGGAATTTTTTTTTAAGAAATTCTTGTTAGAAACTTAAAGATCCTTAATCATGGATTTTTTTTAAAGAAATGCACTAAAGGATTTTCAAGGTTTTTGTTGGGAATTTTTCAAGGACTATCTTAACTCTAATCGCAAATTTTTCAAGGACTTGCTAAGCCATAAACTTGTTTTTTTTTTTAATGGATGCTTTTGAGGTATTATCTGAAGATTTTCAGTTGATTTTTGAAATAAAATTTTGCAAGGATTTTTGAGGATTAATTGGAGTATTTTTTTTTTAATTTTCTTAAGAACTTTAAGTGTGATTTCTTCGAAGAATATTTTCTTAAGTATCTAATTTCAAAAAATTATTCTTAAGGACCTTTAAAGCAAAGAAATCGTGAGTTTTGAAAATTTGCACGTTTTCAAGGATTATCAGAAGATTTTTTTGTGGACTTTTAAAGAATATATTTAAGGACTATTAAACGATTTTTCGAGGATTTCCAGTAATTATTTTTGGTGAAAAGAAATTGAAAAATTGCTGACAGTCTTTGGTCTGGTCCAAGGTCTGATAGTCCTTAAAAAAATGATGATATATTTTTGATTATATATAAATGATTGAAAAAATTATGATATATTTTTCAAGGACTATCAAATGTATTATTTGCGTGGATTTTTTTCACGGAATATTTGACAAGGTCTATGAACGCTGAAATCGTGTTTTATGGCCGTATACTTGTGATAGGGTGCGTATGATTGTTCAGATAACGTATACGCCCAATTGGCGTTATAATAACTGAAAATGGTCAATTTCCCAATAATGAAAATGAAATGAATATTTTTTTCTGCCTTTGAATTTAAATAAATGTATTTTTTCTTGACTTTTGTTAATAAAGTAGAATTAAGGCGATAAAAGTCAGATTGGCTCTGAGCTTCATTTAATTAACTCTTAAATATACTATAATCTCTGTTAAATCGTTAATTAACTCCCTATTATTCCTCCTCCATTTCAGATGCTCCTGCAAGTGTCCTGGGTGCGACATCGCGACATACATTTGCTCACCGTCGGCCGGTACACGTACACCTCAGATCAAAGATTTCGTGCCATACATCAGCCGCAGACAGAAGACTGGATTTTACAAATCAAATATCCGCAGCATCGTGACTCGGGCATTTACGAGTGTCAGGTCTCGACAACGCCGCACATGAGTCACTACATCCATTTGAATGTGGTTGGTAAGTATGGGCGAAGGATGAAAAGGATCAACAAGGATGGACACACATTTCAATTAATCCTTATGACAAACTTATTAATTATTGGAACAAATAAATAAATTAATGCGTTTGGCATTTGGATGATGATGATGATGATGATGAGGCTAGTAATTGCCATAAAATATTTCTCTGTGTCCAACGTAAAGCAATAATGGATTCAATTTGTTTGGCAGGATAATTTAAGAGAGCAAACACACACTCACATAGAGACAGATATCATTATCCGGCAATGATAATTGAGTGAATTTATTTGAATAAGGATTCCAATGGCATAAATCTTAAGGACCAGACAAATAAATTATTATCATTATTATTGTCCTTCGGATGCTTCTTCTATGCCTTCTTATTGCTTTTGTTATGTGCAAATTGAGATGAGCATGATTATGGCCAAGTTAGCCAGTCCCTTTTTTGTTTGATAGTCAAAATTGACTTGAAGTGGCAAAAATTCCAGCAGGTCCTATCATTAATGGATCCAGCCTCCAATGCAAAGGACGATGAGCATACAAATTTGCTGCAATAAAAACAGACCAAAAAAATTCAATAACGAATGTAATTTATAGAATATGAACAAAAAGAAAGAGAGTGGAGGACAATACGTAATTTGAGTATGTTGCGACATTTATTTACCCAAACACATAGCTATGTGTGCTTGAATTCCAAAAACTCCCACATACGTAAATTTATTGTCCCTGGACATGTATGCATGCAATTTTTCTATGTAATTCTGGCAATTTAAGTTTATAGCCTGTATCAGCAGGACAATTATAATAAAATATTTATTGGTTTTAATGTAATTGAAATGATTTAATTGAATTACATCGGAGATCACAAGCTGACCTTGCATGAATCTTAAAATGTTTTCAAGGAAGGTCAGCACGAAGTAGTTTTAATTGCAAGAGGTTAGCCAGGGGTAAATTAATTTTATCGTATTGAAATCAAATTTAAATATGTGGAAGATATATTATATTAACCAATAAATAAATTAACTTAGGTGTACATTAGTGCGTATGAGTGTTGTCACAACGTATACGCTATAGGGGCTGGAGAAATTCAGAGAATATGAAAAAAATAAGACAAAGATTTACAAAATAAGAATAAATATTTTTCTCGATTACTAGCAGAGCTAAAATTGTTACTGTTAAGAAAAAAGTATTTCCCTTAGCTGCAATGTTCCTTGAGGGAAACGCTTTAAGAAAACGGCTCTAACCGCAAAGATCTTTGATAGAACCCAAGAACTATAACCCTTGAAAAAAGAATCTTTAAACAATCCAATGTTATCCTTGAAAACTACTCTTTAAAAATCCACGCTTATTGTTCTTGAAAAAAATTCGTTACAAAAATCCACGACTACCCTTTAAAAAATCTACGATTATCCTTGAAAAAAAAAAAAAAAAACAAAAATTCAATCGGTTATCTTTAATTTTTTTTAGAAAATTCCAATATTATCCAATATTATCTAAAAAAAACTCACGATTATCTTTGAAAAAATAAATCCTTAAACATTTACGATTATCCTTAAAAAAATCCACGATTATTCTAGAAAAAAATATTTCTTGAAAAATACATGATTATTCTTAAAAAATCCACGATTATCCTTAAAAAAATATTTTAAAAAATCCACGTTATCCTTGAAAATACTCTTTTAAAAATCTACGATTAACCTTGGAAAATTTCTCAAAAAAACACGATTATCTTTAAAAAAAATTCTTTATGCCTGAAAAATATTCTTTAAAAAATCCACGATTATTCTTGAGAAATATTCTTTAAAAAATCCACGATTATCCTTGAAAAGCAAAATCTTTAAAAAATCCCAGATTATCCTTGAAAAAAAATTCTTTAAAAAATCCCCGATTATCCTTGAAAAAAAAAAAAAAAATCTTTAAAAAATCCACGATTATTCTTGAAAAATATTCTTTAAAAAGTTCACGATTATCCTTGAAAACAATTCTTCAAAAGAATCCACGATTATCCTAGAAAAAAATTCTTTAAAAAAATCCACGATTATCCTTGAAAAAAATTCTTTAAAAAAATCCACGATTATCCTTGAAAAAATTCTTTAAAAAAATCCACGATTATCCTTGAAAAAAATTCTTTAAAAATCTACGATTATCCTTGAAAACAATTCTTTAAAAGAATCCACGATTATCCTTGAAAAATATTCTTTAAAAAATCGACGATTATCCTTGAAATAAAAATCAATTAAAAAATTCACGACTATCCTCGACAAATATTCTTTAAAAAATCCACTATTATCCTTGAAAAAAAAACTTAAATAACTGCACGATTATCCCTAACAGATATTCTTTAAAAAATCCACCATTATCCTTGAAAAAAAATATATCCTTGAAAAAATTCTTTAAAAAATCCACGATTATCCTTGAAAAAAAAACCTTAAAAACCTTAAAACCTTAAAAACCTTATCCTTAAAACAAACTTAAAAAAATTAACGATTATCCTTGAAAGAAAATCTAAAAAATTCCAAGATTATTAAAAAAAATCTTTAAAAAAAATCCAAGAATATCTTAAAAAAAAATTCTTTAAAAAATCCTCGATTATCCTTGCAAAATATTCTTTAAAAAATCCATGATTATAATTGAAAAAAAAATCTTTAAAAAATCCATGATTATCCTTGAAAAAAAAATCTTTAAAAAATCCACGATTATACTTAAAAAACACTGTTTAAAAATCCACGATTATCCTTGAAAGATATTATTTAAATAATCCACGAAAAATATTCGTTAAAAACTTCACGATTATCCTTGAATAACAAAATCATAAAAAAATCTACGATAATCCGTGAAAAGAAAAATTCTTTAAAAAAATCCCCGATTATCCTTAAAAAAATCACGAGTATCCTTAAAAAACATTAAAAAATCCACGGTTATGCTTAAAAAAGTCACTAAAAAAATTCTACGTAAAATTCCACGATTATCCTTAATTTTTTTAAATCCAAATTTATACTTGACAAAATTTCTTTAACAAATCTACGTTTATCCTTGAAAAACAAATAATTAAATAATCCACAATTATCTTTGAAAAAATCTTTAACAAATCCACGATTATCCTTGAAAAAACATTCTTTAAAAAATCCTCGATTATCATTGGAAAAGAATTATCCTTAGAAAGATCTTTAAAAAATCTACGATTATCCTAAAAAAAAATCTTCAAAAAATTCGACAATTATTCTTATTTTTTTTAATCCACGACTATCCTTGAAAAAACCCAACGTTATCCCTGCAAAATTACTCTTCAAAAAATCCACTATTATCTTTGAAAACAATTCTTAAAAAAAAATTCACGAAAATCCTCCTAGAAGATCTTCAGGCTCTATGATACCTAGATATTCGCCTGGCTCTTTAATAACTCTGGAAGATCTTAAGGTTACTGGCTCTTGTAATCTTTTTGATTCCAGAAGAAGATCTTTACCTTTAGAAGGTATTCTGTCAAGGCCAAGGACTTTTAAATCATTGGCTATTTTTTTACCCTCAGCCATGTGACTAGAGAGGGAGGTTATATATCATTTGATACGGCCTAAACGTGTCTCATCGAAATAACGCTTTTCGACCCTGGGTCTCCTTGGACTAAATCCGTTTCAGAACATTTGGAGTCGATCTACCGATGTCCGTCCGTCTGTCTGACTGGCTGGTGCTCACGATAAATCTCTAAGGGAGTACTGATTTGGTCCAAACTTAGTTCATCGTAATATTATTGTCAAACTTAGATCGAGTTTGGAGGTGGGCAATATCGGTAAACTCCTTCTGATACCTCCCACACAAAATGCCAGCATTTTCAAAGCAAATAATTTACTGTACAGAAAGAGAGAGGATAATTCGATTTTGCTCCACCTTTGCATATCCTAATATTTGAATCAGAGCTAGGTCAATATCGGTTCACTCCATCAAGTATCTCCCCCACAAACGGTCAAAATTTGGAAAATGATAACCCTTATAAAATGTGATATAAGTGTCTGATTGTCTTTTAATTACACACATCACAGTATTTTTATTAACCCTAGGTCTGGTGTGAATATGGAATATATCGACCCACTCCTTTCGGTACCTCCCCCACAAAGGGTCAACATTTTGAATATTTATGAAGCTCATAAAATTCGAAATTAACATCCGATTTCATTCAAACTTTGCCCATCTCAGTATTTCCATCAAAAAGAAATTTGTAATAAATATGGTAGAGATCGGATCATTCCTTCTGGTACCTAGCCCACAAAGGGTCAACCTTTTTGAATAACCAAAACGATCATAAAAACCGAAATAAGCATCTGGTTCTCTTCAAGTTGCACACATCACAATATTTTTTATTATCCCAAGGTGTGATGTGAATATGGAATATATCGGTTCATTCCTTCTGGTACCCTACAGAGGGTCAAAGTTTTGAGTATCCATGAAGCTCATAAAACGCGGAAATAACGTTCGAATCCATTTAGACTTGATCCATTTCAATATTCCCATCAACACAAGATCGGACCACTTCTTCTGGAACCTCCCCCACATTGGGTTTAAGATTTTTTGAAAAAATAAAACGCTGAAAGAAACCTATATAAGCATCTTAATCCATCCATCTCGTCAAATTTCCCACACACAAAAATTTTTGCTAATACAAGATCTATTGCGAAGATGACACGCATCTGCCGACCGCTTCTGGTACCTCACCCACAACGGGTCACAATTTTTAATACTTTTATCTGCCATAACTTGCGAAACAAGTTAGCGATTCTTTACAACTTGCCATATCTAAATATTTCTCTTAACCAGAAATCTTATCTCAAATAAAATATCGGAAGTATCAATATTGTCAAACTGCTTCGGAACACACAACCCCTCAATAGTTTGAATAATCATAACTCAATGCAGGGAGTATATATCTTCCGGCAAAACCGACTATATTCTATTTTACTTCTTTTACTTTTTCCAAAATAAATAGAGCCATGTCTTTTTGTTTCCTGGAATAATAGGACTGTAGTTTCAAGGACAATTAGAGCTAAATTCTGCCTATTTTTTTAATGATGGTGGCTAATCTACCACCATTATTTTCTTTTTTAATTTTTTTTTGCATTAATGGAGCCGTGATTTTTGTTTTCTGGAATAATTGGACTGTAGTTTCTTAAATATTTTTCACCAACAATTGGAGCTGAATTCTCCGTATAATCTTCTCAAGGACCATCAAACGTGTTTGTCAAGGATTTCTGTAAACATTCTTCTATAGATCCATTTTAGCCATAGGTTATTTAAGTAGGTTCTTTTTTCGGATTCTGTTTTCTGTAATGATTTTCCACGAGCCATTACATTGACGATTTTTCAAGGATCTTTTTTAAGGACGACTTTAGAGTCCTGCGTTCTGGATTTTTTTTCAATAATCATTAATGCCGCGATTTTGGAAAGATTTTTGTGAGAGTCATCAGAACTATAATTTCCGCCACAGATTTTTGTCTGTGTCAATATTTTTTCCAAGGATTATTTCCAAAGAACTATTAGCTTAAAGAGCTAAGAGAGGCAATCAGCTTTTGCTGCTAGAATACCATCTGTGAAGGTCTTAGTCTATAGACTTTAGAAAACCAGCAGGCATTAAGACATCTGGATTGTGGTCTGGCTGTTAAACACCTCTTGAAGATCTTCTGTCCCTAGAATAACTCTAAAGGATATTCTGCTTTCAACAAATTTCTGCTTCGATATCATTTTGCCTTCAGAAGAAGATTTTCTGTCATTAGAAGGCCTTCTGTCAAGGTCGTGATTTTAAAAGCACTGACTATTAATAATATTATTTTTCGAGTTCTTGAGAAGCTTTTGAATGATATTATTCACGAACTATTAAAATATACGAATTTTTGTGAGATTTGTTTCTAAGATAATAAGAATCCTTTATTTTCTAAGAAAAATATTTTCAAAACACCATGTCGTCATAAATATATATTTTTTAAACTGTTAAAATCGGTCTTTGAATCTTAAATTTTCAGGAAATATTTTTCTATTAACCCATGTCGTATAAGTAACGACAACACTCATACGCCCAACACTGCATATTTCTGCTTCATTCAACTAAATTTTAATTTCTCTTAAACTCATTTGAATTTGCCTAACGTTATCATTTATTTTTTCTTCTCCACATTTTCTATTTGCAGAACCCTCAACAGAAATTATAGGTGCCCCTGATCTATATATAGAAAGTGGGTCAACTATAAATTTAACCTGCGTTATACTTAATTCTCCAGAGCCGCCTGCCTACATTTTTTGGAATCACAATAATGCGGTAAGTTTCAATGGCTTGCCGGGCCGTACAAAATGCCTTGGCAATATTTTAAATGGTATTGAGTGCTTTGTGAGAGGGAGTGGATGGCAGGATGGGTGGGGTGGGTGAGCTTGTGAATGGGTTGGTTGGTATGTGTGTGTGTGTCTTTGAGTGAACTTTTTTTGGATGTATGCAAGCTGGTGTGTATATTAGGGTGGAATGCAAGGGTAAGGAGATTGAAAATATGGAAAATAAAAAATGGTTTCTAATATCTGAAATATATGAAAACTAAACCAGGACTATTTATTTATCCTTTTGTGGTGTTGAAAAGGTATAGAGGAAAAATCTGCTTAAATATTCTTCAGTCAACTCCGGTTAAAGAAATCTCACCAATGTACCTATTTTAGCAAATTTATAAATATTTCCCATATCATATATTTTTATACCCTCCACCATACTATGGAGGGTATATTAATTTTGTCATTCCGTTTGTAACTCCTCGAAATACTTATGTCAGACCCCACAAATTATATATATTCTTGATCAGCGTAAAATTCTAAGTCGATTTAGCCATTACCGCCCGTCTGTCCGTCTGTGGAAATCACACTAGCTTCCGAACGAAATGAAGTAGGTTGATAAAATTTTACTCAAATGTGTATTATGTCTGCAGGACTTTTGGTATTGAAAATGGGTCATGTAGGTCCACGTCTTCGTATAGCCCCCATATAACACCGTACCTCCTGACATTCGATATTCTGTTTCTAAAGGACATATATATGGTCTTCTGACAGCCTCCTGTCCCTAGAATACCGTCTGAAGGCCTTTTGCATTCATAATATCTCCGGAAGGTCTTCAGGTTTTAGAAGACCTTATAAAGGTGTCCTGTCTTAATTAGACTCCTCGAATTTTTCCACTCCTTAGAAGAACTTCCCACGCTTGTCATCTCATATAAAACCTCTGGTCTTCTTTTCTTTAGAAGACATTTCCGTTTTTAGGAGACCTTTGAAAGTTTTCTGTTTCTAAAGGACATATATATGGTCTTCTGACAGCCTCCTGTCCCTAGAAGACCGTCCGAAGGTATTTTGCCTTCATAATATTTCCGCAAGGTATTCAAGTTTTATAAGACCTTATGAAGGACTTTTTTCTTAGTTAGACCTCTGGAAGGTCCACGTCTTCGTATAGCTCCCATATAACGGCACCTCCCGATATTCGGTATTTTGATGATTTTAGCGACATTATTCACCGGAGTTGTGTGAAATTTTGGTATTTGAAGTTCGCAATGAAGACTACAGCCTAAGGCAAAAAATTGTCTATGCAGGTCCACGTCTTCGTATAGCCCCATACAAGGTTACCTTCCGATATTCGGTATTTTGATGATTTTACCGAGATTATTCACCGGAATAGTTTCAAATTTGGCATTTGAAGTTCGAAATGAATACTACAGCCTAAGGCAGTAAATTGTCTGTGCAGGTCCATCTTTTCATATAGCCCCCATATAAAGGTACCTCCCGATATTCGGTATTTTTGATTATTTTAGCGACATTATTCACCGGAATTGTCTCAAATTTGGCATTTGAAATCCGAAATGAATACTACAGTCTAAAGCAGAAAATTGTCTATGCAGATCCACGTCTTCGTATGGTCCCCATATAAAGGTACCTCCCGATATTCGGTATTTTGATGACTGTAGCTACATTATTCACCGGAATCGTTTCGGATTTGCTATTTGAAGTTCGTAATGGATACTACAGCCTATGACAGAAAATTGTCTGTGCAGGTCCACGTCTTCGTATAGCCCCCATATAAAGGTACCTCCCGATATTCGGTTATTTGATAATTTTAGCGACATTATTCACCGGAATGGTTTCGAATTTGCTATTTGAAGTTCGTAATGGATACTACAGCCTAAGACAGAAAACTGTATGTGCAGGTCCACGTTTTCATATGGCCCCCATATAACGGTACCTCCCGATATTCGGTATTTTGATGATTTTAGCGACATTATTCGTCGGAATTGTTTCAAATTTGGCATTTGAAGTTCGAAAAGAATACTACAGCCTAAGGCAGAAAATTGTCTATGCAGGTCCACGTCTTCGTATAGCCCCCATATAAGGTTACCTCCCGATATTCGGTATTTTAATGATTTTAGCGACTTTATTCACCGGAATTGTTTCAAATTTGCTATTTGAATTTCGTAATGGATACTACAGAGTAAGACAGAAAACTGTCTGTTCAGGTCCACGTTTTCGTATGGCCCCCATATAAAGGTACCTCCCAATATTGGGTATTTTGATGATTTTAGCGACATTATTCCCGGAATTATTTCGAATTTGCTATTTGAAGTTCGTAATCGACAGAAAATTGTTTATGCAGGTCCAGGTCTTCGTATAGCCCCCATATAAAGGTACCTCCCGATATTCGGTATTTTTGATTATTTTAGCGACATTATTTACCGCAATTGTTTCGAATTTGCTATTTGAAGTTCGTAATGGATACTACAGCCTAAGACAGAAAATTGTCTATGCAGGTCCACGTCTTCGTATGACCCCCATATAAAGGTACCTACCGATATTCGGTATTTTGATGATTTTAGCGACATTATTCGTCGGAATTGTTTTAAATTTGGCATTTGAAGTTCGAAATTGATACTACAGCCTAAGGCAGAAAATTGTCTATGCTGGTCCACGTCTTCGTATAGGCCCCATATAACGGTACCTCCCGATATTCGGTATTTTTATGATTTTAGCGACATTATTCACCGGAATTGTTTCACATTTGGCATTTGAAGTTCGAAATGAATACTACAGCCTAAGGCAGAAAATTGTCTATGCAGGTCCACGTCTTTGTATAGGCCCCATATAACGGTACCTCCCGATAATCGGTTGTTTGATGACTGTAGTTATATTATTCACCGATTTTTTTCTTCTAAGTTTCGCATTTGAATATTGCAATGGCTTATGAAAAAAATTACCTATGCAGGTCCATGTCGTCGTATTGATCCTAATATAACGGCTACATTCGGTATTTCTAAGATTTTAACGGATTTTATTGTTTTTGAGAATTGCCAAATTCGTTCCAAATGGTGGAGGGTATTCAAAGTTCGGCCCGGCCGAACTTACAGCTTTTTTACTTGTTTGTAATTTTTTTATTAAAATTTCTTCCCGACTTTCTTCCCTTTGGAGACCCCATTATCTTATCCCAAATTTTTCTTGGCATTCCACCCCACTAAAAATCACTGTATGTGCACTGATTTTTTGTATCCTTTTTTTGTTTGGAATTATTTGTTGCCATTTTTTGGGTACATATCCTTTATGCACATAGTTGTGCAAAAAAAAAAAAAAAAAACTGACCGCCTGTGTCTGCATCGATATGCCTATGTCTGAGTGCTGTTGTCCATGTTTTTGTTTTTTTGTTTTGTATTTTTTGTGGATGGGCTATTTCACATAAAAGCCCAAACTAATCCTTTTTTATCGTTGCCTGCCTGTAAATCCTTGAAACAAGTTTTTCTTGCTATTTTTAATTTTTTGCTCTCACTCTGCCTCTCTCTCTCAAAGATTTTTTTTTTTTGAATTTCAATGGCTTCGTGTTTTGTTTTTGAAGGATTGGGGTTGGAGTGCGACACCGAATGAGAGCAAAATAAACAAGTGGAAGGATTACAAAGTCTGTTGGCTTTGAGAGTGTGTTTGAGTGGGAAGGCTTTGCCATGAATTCTAGGAATATTTTTGTTTTGGTCTAAAGATAGCCATAATGGTGATAATAATAGCAATAACAACAACAACAACAACAAAAACAACAATCTTTTTAGTGTTGTATTGTAATAGTTTTGAGAAAATTTTTCTCATCAATTTAATTTTATTTAATGACTTTCCTCCTTTTGACGTGACATTCTGAGATTTTTTTGTTGAAGTCTTTGAAGCGTGAGATAAAGGATAAAATTATTGTGTTATTGCATGTCCTTTTATTTAATAAAGAAGCCTTCAAAATGTCTTTTTGTGGAGGAAAGGAGGAAGAGGATGTATAATAAATTTTTTAAATAATTTCCTATCGATGTCCTTTTTGCTAATAAAATTAAGGAAACTCTAAGGAAAACCCGTTTTTCCTCAAAATCTTCTCCAGAAGAACTCTACTGTATCTTCTGTGTATACAAGTTTTTGGAAAGGTATTTTCTATTTCGAATACCTCCAGAAAGTCATATGACCCTAAACGACCTCTGAAAATTATTCTGGTTCTAGAAGAATCCTCGAAGGCCTTCTCATTCTAATAGTCTTTTATTAAAAAGACTTCTGAAGTTTCCTGTCTCTAGAAGACCGTCCGAAGGGCTTTTGAGGTTTTAGAAGACCTTGTGAAGGTCTTCTGCCACAATAAGACTTCTGAAAGTCTTAGAAGATGGTCCGAAGGTCGTAAGAAGACCTTATGAAGGTGTTCTGTCTTAATTAGACTTTTGGAAAGTGTCCTGTCCCTAGAATACCGTCTTTAGGTTTCAGAAGTCGTTATGAGAGTCTTCTGTCTTAATTAGACTTTTGGAAGGTCTCCTGTCCCTAGAAGACTGGCCGAAGTTGTTCAGCTTTAATAAAACTCCGGGCTTTCCGTTTTTTAGAATACCTCTGAAAGTTTTCTGTTTCTAAAGGACATCTCTATGTCCTGTTAATTTAATAAGACTTTTGAAAGCCTCCTTTCCCTAGAAGACCGTCCAAAGGTCGTTTGGCTTCATTATGTCTCCGAAAGGTCTTTAGGTTTTAAAAGACCTTATGAGGGTCTTCTGTCTTGGTTAGATCTCTGGAAGGTGTCATGTCTCTTTCGAAGCTTGCCAGCCTATATAATACACTATTTCTTCCGTTTTTAGAAGGTCTTTGAAAATTCTGTTTCTAAAGGATATTTATTTGATCTTCCGATTTAATAAGACTTTTGACAGCCTTCTGTCCCCAGAAGACCGTCCGAAGATCTTTTGCCTTTATAATGTCTCCGGAAGGTCTTTTGTTTTCAGAAGTCGTTATGAGGGTCTTCTGTCTTAATTAGACCTTTGGAAGGTCTCCTGTCCCTAGAAAATTGTTTTTCAGCCATTATAAACCTCCGGGCTTTACGTTTTTTAGAAGACCTATGGAAGTTTTCTGTTTCTAAAGGACATCTATATGTCCTGTTAATTTAATAAGACTTCTGACAGCCTCCTGTCCCCAGAAGACCGTCTGAAGGTATTTTACTTTCATAATGTCTTCGGAAGGTCTTTAGGATTAGAACACCTTATGAAGGTCTTTCGTCTTAATTAGACCTCTGAAAGGTCTCCTTGTCCCTTTCGAAGCTTGTCTGCCTTTATAAAAACTCTCTTCTTCTGTTTTTAAAAGACCACTGAAAGTCTTCTGTTCCTAAAAAACCTGAACTAGAAGACCATTCCAGCTTAGGAAGACCTCTGAAAGGTCTTATGGTTGTAGAAGACTTCTCGAAGTTCTTCTGACTCTAAAAGACATTTAGAAAAACTTCTGCCCACTTAAAGGTCTACTGGCTATAGAATCCCCTGAAATGCCTTCTGCCTCTATAAAACCTGGTTTAAGATGATGTCTGAACTTCTTCTGGTTCTGAAGAATATTCCATCTTTCCAAGACGCGGATGGTTTTCTGGCTCTGACATTTAGAAGGTCTTTTGGCTATATAAGGTCTATAGAAGGACTTTGCCCACAGCTGACCTCTAAAAGGTCTAATAGCTAGAGAAATCCCCTGATTATTTCTGAAGGTTGTAGTCTCTGAAGAGTCTTCTGCCTTTCGTTGACCTTTGGATGGTATTCTGGCTCTGAAATTTAAAAGCTCTTTAGCAAAACTTTTGTCCACAGCAGACCTATAAAAGTTCAAAGGTTATAGAAAATACATAAAAGGGTCCTCTTTCCCTATAAAACCTTCTTTTTTCAGATGATTTCTGAAGGTTCTAGTCTCTGAAGAGTCTTCTGGCTTACGAAGACCTCTGGATGGTTTTCTGGCTCTGATATTTAGAAGGTCCTGAATATCTTTTGCCTTTGAAGAGTCTTCCGCCTTTCAAAGACCTCTGGATGGTTTTCTGGCTCTGAAATTAAGAAGGTCTTTTGGCTCTAGAAGGTCTTTAGAAGGACTTTGACAACAGCGAAGATGTCTGGATGGTTTTCTGGCTCTGACATTTCCGGCTCTAGAAACCCCCTGAAGTGTATTCAGCCTCTAGTAAACCTCCTTGTTTCAGACGATGTCTGATGTTTGAGGGTTTTCTGCATTTTAAAAAACCTGAAGACCTCAAAATGAAATTTCGCAACTAGAAGATGATGAGGGATGACCCTCTACCGTAGGTGTCTCTACAAGAGCATCTCTAGATGGTCTTAAGTAAAATTTTGCCCATAGAAAACTGTTTGAAGTTCTTCTAAGTTCAGAAAACCTTAAAACGATATCCTGCAACTATAAAGCCTCTGGATGGTCTTCTCCCAGAAGTATTCTACTCTAGATAGTCTTGTGGTTTTTTTAAGACCTCTGAATAGACTTTGGAAGCTGTGAATTGTCTTTTGTTTCTAGAAATTCTATTAAAAATCTTCTGGCTCTAGAATACCTCATAAGAGACTTCTGTGCCTAGAAAACCTCTAGAGGAGGATCTTCTGTCTCCGGCAGAACTCTAAAAATTAAGTCTTGCAGTTTTTATACCTTCCACCATACTATGGAGGGTCTATTGACTTTGTCATTTCGTTTGTAACTCCTCGAAATACTCATGTCAGACCCAACAAAGTATGTATATTCTTGATCAGCGTAAAATTCTAAGTTGATTTAGCCATGTCTGTCTGTCTGTCCGTTTGTCTGTTGTAATCACGCTATCTTTCGAAAGAATTGAGATAGAAGGCAAACATTTTGCACACATGTTTATTTTTCCAGTAGGCAGGTTAAGTTCGTAAATACTCCATGTAAGTCCTCGTTTTCTTATAGCGCCGATATTCGGTATTTTGATGATTTTAGCGACATTATTCACCGGAAATGTTTCAACTTTGGTATTTGAAGTTCGGAATGGATACTACAGCCTATGACAGAAAATTATCTGTGCAGGTCCACGTATAGCCCCCATATAACGGTACCTCCCGATATTCGGTATTTTGATGATTTTAGCGACATTTTTCATCGGAATTGTTTCAAATTTGGTATTTGAGATTCGTAATGGAAACTACAGTCTGTGACAGAAAATTGTTTATGCAGGTACAGGTCTTCGTATAGCCCCCATACAACGGTACCTCCCAAAATTCGGTATTTTGATGATTTTAGCGTCATTATTTAACGGAATTGTTTCAAATTACGTATTTAGAATTCGTAATGAAAACTACAGCCTATGACAAAAACTTGTCTGTGCAGGTCCACTTCTTCGTATAGCGACCATATAACGGTACCTCCCAAAATTCGGTATTTTCATGATTTTAGCGACATTATTCACCAGAATTGTTTCAAATTTGATATTTAAAGTTCGTCATGGGAACTACAGTCTGTGACGAAAAATTGTCTATGCATGTCCAGGTTTTCGTATAGCCCCCATATAAAGGTACCTCCCTATATTCGGTATTTTGACGAGTTTAGGTACAAAACCCACCGAAATTGTTTGAGATGTCGTATTTGAAGTTCGTAATGGATGCTACAGCCTGTGACAGAAAATTGTCTATGCTGGTCCAGGTATTCGCACAGCTCCGATATAACGGTACCTCCCTATATACGATATTTTGATGTTATTTTAGCTACCATATTAGCCATTTATTTCAAGTTTCGAATTTGAATATGGTAATGGCTTATGACAAACAATGCCTTTGTAGGTCCACGTCGTATAGACCCCAATATGACGGCTATATTCGGCATTTTTAAAATTTTAACAGAATTTTTTAAGGATTTTATTTTTTGAAAATTTTCAAATTCGTTCCAAATGGTGGTGGGTATTCAAAGTTTGGCCAGGCCGAACTTACTGCTTTTTAACTTGTTCTTTTTGCAGAAGACCTTGAGAAAGTCTTCATTTTGTTGAAGACTTGGAAATGGTCTTTTGTCTATAGAAGAACATGAGAAGTTCTGACTCTCCATTTCTAGAAGTCATTTAAAAGGTATTTTGGCCTATGGAAAACTTGAAAGCTCTTTTGTCCATAGGGTACTATTAAATGCGCCTCTGACTATGAAAGCTCTGAAAACTATGAAAGCCATTTAAGAGCCCTTCTATCTTAGGAAGTACTTTCAAAAGTTCTGATACTTAAGGAAGTCTTTTTTGGATATTCTGCTTACAGGAGATCGTTAGGTAGGGTCTTTTGCCTAATAAAGCTAGTTGGAAGTATTTCATTCTCTATGAAAGACTTCCAAATATTTCCTTCTATACAAATCTATAAAAAGTCCATATTTTCTTTTTTAAAGCGAAAAATTAAAAAATTGATTTCCCGCAATATTTTGTTGTTGTCCTTTTTCTGTTTCCCCTCCCCCCACTTCTCGGTTAAATCTTTTATTTACACGCTTAAAAGCCAGCATTGTTATTAAACACAAGAAAGAACAATATTTTTTATTATCCTTCACCACAACGAAAAAAAGAGAACAGCAACAATCGTGGACCAAATATTTTGTACCATCAATATCCTGTGGATTTCGGAGAAATTGTATTTTGTTCCGGGTATATCCTTTGCCATTGTAAATCGCTGAAAAAAGTAAAAAAAATAGTTTTCCCTCTTTTCTTTAGCGTATTCGATTATGATGAATTCAGTTGTTGTTTGTCAGCATTATGTGAGAGTGTGGGTGTGTATGTGTATGTGTCTGTGTGTGAGTGTGAGTGTCCTCTCTGTGTGTGTGTGCATTATGGTTTTGACTTTGGCTTACGACAATGACAATATTGCTGTTGTCGTTCGTTTTTCTCTTTCTCTTTTTTGTTGTTTGCCATTCTGATTCCGTTGTTTAACCCGCTGTTGTTTTTCTTTCTTTTCATCTTTTCATCTTTATTTTTTTTGGGATTTTCCGTTTTTCCCAATTTTTTTCTTTTTTTCCTGCATTTTCCAGATTATCAACTATGATTCGCCGCGCGGTGGTGTTTCGGTTGTTACCATTAAAGGCGACACAACGACATCCTTTCTGTTGATCAAATCAGCCCGGCCATCGGATTCCGGGCACTATCAATGCAATCCATCGAATGCTAAACCGAAAAGTGTCACCGTTCACGTGCTCAATGGTAAGTATGAAATGACTAACTCAATATGCGGTTTCTTTTCATTTTCAGGATTTTTACAGTGGTCTCAGAGGATGAAGGAGGCTACATATGTGCAGATATTGTGAAGTAAAAATTTGGGTCGAGGGGGGAAAATAAAAATGACATATTAGAATAATCTGCATTTTGATGTGACTAAAAAAACATATTAATGGGTGTTATTATTCCGTATTATTAGAAATTTGTAACTAAAAGGTACCAGAAGGTACAGAATAGTTCTACATTTAATTGGAGGATTTATAGGGATAATAACCTTGCATAGAAGTGGGGGGGGTCAATTGGGCCAATATTTTCTCTTCGTATGTAGAGGAGAATAAACCTCGTATTTTTAGAAATTTGTAACTGAAGGGTACCAGAGGGTACAAAATAGTCCAACATTTTATTGAACGATTTATAGGGACAATAACTTGGAATAGAAGTGGGGGGGGGGGGGGTGCAATTGGGCCAATAATTTCTCTTCGTATAGAGGAGAATAAACCTCGTATTTTTAGAAATTTGTAACTAAAGGGTACCAGAGGGTACAAAATAGACCAACATTTTATTGGAGGATTCGAGGACCGAAAGGACCACAATAGGGTCTCCATGAAGGATTCTACAGTTCTTATTTTAGACTGTGGTTCATTGATATCAATATTGTACCATTTTTAAATTATAGTACTTTTCCTATCCCCAAAGTACGAAGAAGTTACGAAAATATGGGTTAAACTGTGTCCACCACTTCTATGCAAATTCTTGTACCCATAAATCGTCCAATTAAAATTTTAGACTATTTTGTACCTTTTTCTACCTTGTAGTTACGACGTTCCAAAAGCACGGATTTTAATCTCCTCTACGCACGAAAAGCTCCACCAATAAAAATTGCTAAAGTTCTAGTTGTTCCCAATCGCTTAGGGACAATATTGTACTATTTAGTACTTTTCGTACCCTTAGGAGTAACAAAAAACACAGAATTTTTTTAGCCTTTAAAGCAAAAACAAAGTATTGGGTCCTCGAAGTACGAAGTTACGAAAATATTGCTGTAGTTGCCCCCCGTCCCCCTCTTCTATACAAAGTTCTTGTTCCTATAAATCGTCCAATTAAAATTTCGGACTTTTCTGGACCTATTTGTACCTTGTAGTTACGAAGTTCTAAAAACACGGATTTTATTCTCCTCTCCATAGGAAAGGTCCCCCATGAAATTTTTCGTAGATGATTTCTGTAGGTTCTAGCTTCTGAAGAGTCTTCTGCCTTACGAAGATGTCTGGATGGTTTTCTGGCTCTGACATTTAGAAGGTCTTCCGGCTCTAGAAATCCCCTGAAGTGTCTTCTGCCTCTAGTAAACCTCCTTGTTTCAGACGATGTCTGTTGTCTAAAGGTCTTCTGCATTTCATTTCTACTCTAGGTGTCTCTAGAAGAGCATCTCTAGGTGGTCTTAAGAAAAACTTTTGTCCATAGATGACTGGTTAAAGTTCTTCTAGGTCCAGAAAACCTTAAAAGGATATCCTGCAACTATAAAACCTCTGGATGATCTTCTCCCAGAAGTACGAAAATATTGCTGGAGTTGTCCACCCTCTTCTATGCAAAGTTCTTGTTCCTATAAGTCGTCCTATTATAATTTCGGACTTTTCTGTACCTTTTTGTACCTTGTAGTTACGAAGTGTCAAAAGCACGGGTTTTATTTTCCTCTCCATAGGAAAAGGTCCCATGAAATTTTTCATAGTTCCAGTTCTACTCAATTGCTTAGCGACTATGTTGTACTATTTAGTACGTCTCGTGCACTTGGAGTATGAATATTCAAAAATTCAGAATTATCTTAGCCTTGTGAACGAAGACTGACTTTTACATCAAATCTAAAAGTCTTGGGTCTTCTCGATTGCTCCTCTTACAATGTAGTACAATTTTATACCGATTAGTACCCATTAGTACTTTTTTGTACTTGTAAAGTAAATGTTTAAAAAAATCGAAAAATTTCATCCTCTACACAAAGAGCGGTCCATAAAAAATAAAATTATACTTCAGAACAGACAAATAATGAGGTTGGACTATTTTGTACTCTTAAGTACTTTTTGTACCCTTGAAGCTGAAACTTCCAAAAATCCGGTTTCAATTTAGTCTCCTATAAAAATAGGATTTCCATGCTAAATTTCAAGATTGCAGCTCTTTTATTTATCGTATACAATTGTGTACCTTTTAGTACTTTTCGTACCTTTAGAGTACAGATTTTTTAAAAAATGCACTTTATTTTTATCTGAAAATCCATAGAGTCCCCTCCTTACTTTCACCACTTTTAATAGTCAAATATCAGTTTTCCATATCTAATCGATCGCTCGACAACAATATTGTACTGTTTAGTACATGTCGTACCTTGGAAGTATGAAGTTAAAAAAATCACCTCATTTTTATTTTTAAAATGCAAAGTTGCTTTTCCACTAAAAGTCATTTTAAATCTTTAATCAATGGCCAAAAAAATCGTACATTTTAGTACTTTTCGTGTTGAATTACCGAAAAATTCCCACCTCAGCAACATAGAGTGGTCTTCGTGCAAATTTTCTAAGCTTGACCTCTTACTGATCGCGAAATAAATATGCTGCACCGTTTGGTACGATTTTGTATCATTTCTACCCTGGAAGTACGCAGTTCCGAAAATGGCCTAAATTTTATAATTTTAACCAAGGGTGATTCTTTTGTGAAATTTCAAAAATTATAACATCATAATATCGCTTAATTACAATTTTGTACTATGCTGTACTTTTTAGTACTTTTCGTACCTTTTAAATAAAAATCTCCAAAAATCCTTCTTATTTTAACCCGAAGTCAATCAAGTCAAGTCAACAATCATGCCATATCTTCTTAGAACGCCTAATAACAGTTTTGTACAATTCTGTACGCTTAAGTACTTTTCGTACATTTTATGCTCAGGGCTCCGAAAATGTCCCCCTATCTCAAATCCGTATAGAAATAGTGACCCTTATGCCGCATTTCAAAATAATCCAGCTGATCCTGATTGCCGAGTTTAAATGCTGTACCATTTGGTACATTTTCGTACTTTTCGTACCCTTTAAGAAAATCTACAAAAAAAATCATTTTTATTTAACTAGAAGTGAAACTCATTTTAAATCTTTAATCAATGGGTCAAAAAAAAAAAAAAAAAAACAAGTAAAGAATTTCGTACATTTTAGTACTTTTCGTACACTTGGTATTGGAATTTCCGAAAAATTACCACCTCTGCAACATGGAGTGGCCTTTTCTAAGACTTACCTCTTTCTGATCGCGTAATAAATATGATGTATCTATCGTTTGGTACGATTTTGTACCCCTCTACCCTTGAAGTACGAAGTTCCGGAAATGCCCTAAATTTTATAATTGAAACCAAGGGTGACATTTTTGTGAAATTTTAAAGTTGTAGTGCCATAATGTCGCTTAATAACAATTTTGTACCAGGTTGTACTTTTTAGTACTTTTCGTACTTTTTAAATAAAAATTTCCAAAAAATTCGCCTTTTTTAACCAGGAGTAGCACTCATGCCAAATCCTCATCTTCATCGAATTCCTAATAACAGAGTTGTACAATTTCGTACGTTTTAGTACTTTCCGTACATTTTATATTCAAGGCTCCCAAAATATCTATCTCAAATCCGTATGGAAGTAGTGACAATTATGCCACATTTCAAAATCATCCAGCTCATCCTGTTTTCCAAGTTTAAATGCAGTACCATTTGGTACATTTTAGCACTTTTCGTACCTTTTAGAAAAATCCACAAAATATCATTCTTATTTTAACTAGGAGTGATATTCATTTTAAATCTTTAATCAATGGCTCAAAAAAATCAAATCAAAAGAATTTTGTACATTTTAGTACTTTTCGTACACTTGGTGTTGGAATTTTGCGAAAAATTCCCACCTCTGAAACATAGAGTGGCATTGGTGCAAATTTTCTAAGATTTACCTCTTCCTGATCGCGAAATAAATATGCTGTTCCGTTTGGTACGAAAATGCCCTAAATTTTATAATTTAAACCAAGGGTGACTGTTTTGTGAAATTTGAACATTATAACATCCTAGAATCGCTTAATTACAATTTTGTACCATAGTGTACGTTTTAGTACTTTTCGTACCTTTTAAATAAAAATTTCCAAAAAATCTGTCCATTTTAACCAGGAATAACGATCATGTCAAATGTTCATCTTCATTGGTTGCTGAATTACAGTTTTGTACAATTTCGTACTTTTTGGTACTTTTCGTACTGTTGATGTTCATGGCTCCAAAAATATCTCTCTATCCCAACCCCGTATAGAATTAGTGATCCTTAGCCGCATTTCAAAAATTTCACCTCATGCTTATTGCCGAGTCTAAATGCTGTACCATTCGGTACATTTTAGTACTTTTCGTACCTTTTAGAAAATCCACAAAAAATCATTCCTATTTTTAACTAAAAGTGATATTTATGCTAAGTCTGTAATTGATGGCTCAATAAAATATTTGGTACGATTTTCTTTTTTTAGTACCTTCCGTACCCTGGAAGATCGAATTTCCGAAAATTCCCACCTCTGTGACAAAGAGTCATTTTCATGCGACATTTCCAAATTCAACCCCCTTCATGAGCACCAAATAAATTATGCTGCAGCATTTTGTACGTTTTGAGTACTTTTCGTATGAATTTTCGAAAAATCCCGCCTTTTCTTACCCTTTTACAGCATCAGTGATGCCCTTGCCAAATTCAGGATTTTAAATTTAGCTCTTCACAGGGGAAAACTGTCTCACTAATTCTAAATCTTTATTTGATGGCTCAGTGGGAATGTGGAGCAATTTTGTACATTTTAGTACGTTTTGTACCCTTGACGAACCAAAATGTTCGAAAATTCTCACCTCTTTAGCATAGAGTCATTTTCGACATTTCCAAATGCTGCAGCATTTTGTAAGTTTTGAGTACTTTTCGTACGAATTTCCAAAAATTCCGCCTTATTCTACCCCTTTACATAATCAGTGA